TTTTTTTTTTTTTTTTCTAAATAATAGGCCTGTGTCATTTTAGTACAAACGCTCCTGGGCAATTTTCCTATATGTCCATATTTTGACTGGATTCAAATTTTTTTCCTTGCATTTTTTTAAATATAAATTATACATTGTTTGGTAATTTTGATTTTGATCCCAATTTAGGGATCTTAAGTGTTCTCTCACAGTATTTATCATTAATTCACTAGTTTTTCTAGAAGAACCATCCATTTTTCCACGCATATCTTGCGGAATATTCTCATAAACTTTTAAAATACGATTAATTCGTCCGGAAGATATTTGAAATGTATCAATGAAAAACTTTTTACATACTAAAATGTTTTCATCAGAAATCATTAGATAAAATTTATAAGTGTATGCCCTTATAATGCCCAAATTATTTCTAGGTCTTCTTCTATTGACAGTTTTACGTTGAACATTAGATTTGAGAAATACATTTTGTTTATTAAAATCACCCATATTCCAAAACTTATGAAAAATTGCTTTACGTTCTGTTTCATTAACACGTTTCATACATTCCTTCGAACAATTACAATTTATTGATTGAAATTTTTTTGCTTCAATGAATTTTCCTTTTTTCGTATAGTACCCTTGTCCAGTATTTCGTTTAATTTTGTTTACTTGTTGCATATATTTTTCTTTATATTGTTTTGCAGAATTTAAGTTCTCCGTAACAGTATTCTCATTTGATGAAGATGATCTAACGAAGGTCTCTGTTATTGTTGTTTTCTTTTTACAATTCGTTAATTTGTTGTTAATAACGGAATTATCTTCATCCTCTGAATCTGAGATTATTTTTTCGTTTATATTCATGGTCTTTATTACTCTGTGAATTTATTTCAAATTAAATTAAATAGAAATATTTTTTCAATTGTCATCAAATAATATTGATTTACCATTTGTTCTTACCTATATTACTATCTGATGTTAATATGAATTTATATATATATTAGAAAAATAATAAAATAAGTAACCTAAACTATAGTAACTCTTGACACGTAATATAAAACAAATGTAAAATAACAGATTATTGATTGACAACCATCTGCTAAACAACCTAAATATGTCAGTTGAACTTACACAACTTTCAAAATAAATGGCCCATATCCTACTATATCATATGAAAATAAATAATATTTGTTGATAGTATTATACTGTCATGGCGTTAAGTACCTACTATCGCCCTCTCGTGGTCTCGATGCAAACTAAGATGAATCTTGTTAGATAAAAAACAAGATTTGACAGTTTCTATTTAATTCTGTATTTTTTGGTTATACTCTCTCCTTGTTTTTTAAATGTGATTTTTATAATATTCTAACTATTTCGATATTAATTAAAAAATGTATGTGAATTAGAATTTGATATATCAATACTGTATAAAAAAAAAAAAGTATACAAAATGCAATCGATTTATACATTGACAATAATAATCTTATCTGTGTTTACAATTTCATGTCATTCTTTAAAGGTTAGTAAGTTTCTATTAACATTGTGTGTGTGTGTGTGTTATTTATTGTGCTCTTTTTTAAATTAATAATTAATGAATTTGTAGAAATTGAATAACACCAAAGAAACAGGACACTCAAATAATTGGGCAGTGTTAGTTGATACATCTAGATTTTGGTTCAATTACAGACATGTTGCAAATGTGTTATCAATATACAGAAGTGTTAAACGTTTAGGAATACCAGATTCACAAATAATACTAATGATTGCCGATGACATGGCATGTAATCCTAGAAATCCTAGACCTGCTACAGTCTTCAACAACGTCAAACAACATATCAATGTTTACGGTGATGACGTTGAGGTTGATTACAGGGGTTACGAAGTTACCGTAGAAAATTTTGTAAGATTATTGACTGGTCGATTGGCACCTGAGACACCAAGATCAAAAAAATTACTCACAGATGAACGATCGAATATTTTAATTTATTTAACTGGTCATGGGGGCAATGGATTTCTTAAGTTTCAAGATTCTGAAGAAATTACTAGTCGAGAACTTGGTGATGCTTTAGAACAAATGTGGCAAAAACGAAGATATCATGAGATATTATTTATCGTAGATACATGCCAAGCTAGTTCAATGTACGAAAAGTTTTACTCTCCTAATATTTTAGCAATTACTTCTAGTTTGGTTGGTGAAGATTCATTATCCGTAAGTTTTTCAATTTCATAACATTGTTATATATATATTATGAGTTAACTAATTATTATTTTTTAATATTTTGTCAGCATCACGTGGATCCTGCTATAGGTGTATATGTTATTGATCGGTTTACGTATTATGCGCTTGACTTTTTAGAAAAAGTTGAACCCACCAGTACAAGAACATTGGGAGAATTTGTTAGTATTCATATATCATATAAATTCAATTATAATGAAATCATTTTAATAATTTAATTATATATATATATATATTTTTTGATTACAGCTCAAAGTGTGTCCAAAACATTACTGTTTATCCACAGTTGGTGTAAGAAAAGATTTATTTAAACGAGATCCCGATAAAGTTCCTATAACTGACTTTTTTGGTTCAGTAAGACCTGTAGAAATAACATTAAATTTAATAAATGTTCTCCCTATAAAATCGAATAAAACAATACTGATAGAATCAGAAGAGAAATATCATTATGTTAAACAGTTTCCGGATATAACGCAGTACACGTAAGAACTGTTATTTGTATTAGTATTACTTGAATTAAATAGATTTTGAAAAAAAAAAAAATGAACAAATTTATTTGGTCAATAATATATATATATACTGTGTCAAAAGACAATATAAATGATATCTTATTATATTTGTATTATTATTATATAATAATATTATTAATTTATAGAATGTAAAGAAAAAGATGTGGATTGTGTATATATTTATATATTATTTATTTTTAATATAAGAAAAAAGGATTTTTCCTGTAGTCAAGTAAGAAAGTTAATTCTGCAAAATTCATCATTTTTATTTGGTCTATGGACATATAACTGAACTTGGGTAGTCGCAGCCTAATATTTTTGGATTGAAAACAAGACCATCAGGACAATTGAATTCAATGACTTGGAAGTGACCATTGACAAGAATACATTGATAGAATTTAGAACAGATGTGAGGATCACGGACAAATCCTTCCTTGGTGCAAATACCCTCGTTTGGTGGTTTGCTAGTTGTTGATTCGGTTGTTTTAGTAGGTCTGGTTTGAGTAGTTGGTTCTGTTGGTTTAGTTGGTTTACCAGGTGTGGTGGTCTTTAAAGGTGGACCATTTAGCAAAACATTGTTCAAAACTTTCAGAAGAGGATATTTTTCTCCACATGCACCCCGGAAGTCATCAGTTTCAACACTCCACAACATAGCACCACCAAGACCTTTAGCTTTAATATATTCAGCTTTTTCTTTCAAAGATCTAGAAAATAATATACAACATAATGAATTTGTTCAGTTCTTCAAATAATATCATAATTCAATGAATGAACATGTAAAGTAATCATATACTTACTGAACATTGTCATAGCCAACCCATTGATTATCGCTATATGCATAAGGTACGCGTTGATCTTCGTCATAAACAACAGTCCATTTACCACTTTGTACTCTTGTGCAAATTTCATTGTATCCCAACATTCCAGGTTCACGAGTGTATTCTCCTGCCATTCCTGGTCCAGTGGTTGGTGCTCCAACTTTATTATTTTGAGCGTTTTGAAGAGAAAAAGATCTACCGTAGAAAGGTACACCGACAATCAATTTTTCAGCAGGGGCACCTTGATCTAGCCAATATTGTACTGCTGCATCCTAAAATGAATAACATTGTTCTCTCAAAAAGGGTAAGTAAATATTACATGCAAATAATTAATGATGAACTTACAGTAGTGAGTTTAGCGTTGTTACCAGTTATGCCTTTTTGGGGATAGAGAGGTGCATTGATTCCAGTTGTTGATTCCCAAGAACCATGAAGATCGTAAGCCATAAGATTGATTAAGTGCAAATGTTTAGACATTTCAGGAATGATATAAGATTGAGAAGCAGAAGATTCAGCAGCACCAACAGCCGCGCTAAGAATGTATCCATGTTGGTCAAATGCTTCTCTAAGTTCTTTTAAAAGTAAAACATAGTTTTCTTTGTCAGCAGCCTTGCCTCCACGTTGATTTGGATATTCCCAATCAACATCGAAACCATCGAAATGATATTTCTTTAAGAATTGAACAACGGAATCAACGAATTTAGCACGAAGAGCAGGATTTGCAACAACGTGAGAATATTTAGTCGAACCCTCGTTCCATCCTCCAATGGCAATGATAAGTTTAACGTCTGGATTTGTTTCACGGAGTTTGATAAATCTACCAAAACCATTCTTTCCGTAATCGTTTGGTAGATCTTGCCATGAATCTAATACTTTAACTGCTCCTTCTTCACTGATTCCAACAAATGTATAAATTACGTGAGTACAGAGAGTTGGATCGATGTTTTCTACTTCAAATTTGCCTGCATCAGGTCTGTAAGTTGACCAACTACCAAAATAGCAGACGATTTTGTCTATAAAAAATATATATATATGAAAAATATAAATAACATATGTCAAGTAATATATTTCTATGAGTAAAGATAAAACAAACAGAATAACATCTACTTACAATCTGCTGTCGCAGTTGCAGCAAATGCTGCAAAAGCTGCTAGAAACACGATCCAAGTGTTCATCTGTAAGGAACAATTCTTACTATAAAAGATTTATATAATAATAATTAAATAATTAAAAGAAAAAAAAAACAGTGATATAATATAACAGAACTTGAAGTTAATAATCGATTTTCTTCTGATACAGTAATATCATCGAATGACTTATAAACTGTTTCAATCTGACAATGACTCATGGGGAGGATCTTTTTGTCAGTTATCAGAAATCTCTCTATATTCTTATCTCAAGGTCATTGAAATAGGAAATGTATAGTGACAGGTGTTAGAATCGATACGATAATAAATGGCAAAATATATTTTTAAATATATATATATATATATATATATATATAATTAATGTATGTAAATTGATAGAATATTCTTCTATTTCTTCTTCTTTTTTTTTTTTTTTTGTTTAAATACACAAATATCTTACCTTTGTCATAGAGCCACGAAAGATCTTGACTAATGAATGACAAATCTTATTAAATTTTCGTATTTATAGCTGATAATAGGCCAACAACACATACGCAAACATTCTATCATGCATACACTTATAAATTTTGGACACTCCTATCAAAATGACTTTAATCAGTGATTAATAGTGCACGTTTTTCACATAGATATCGTATTTATCTTTCACTATCATACATTATGTATCTATATATATATATAAATATATATATATTAATATCGTAATTGAACAAAAGGTCTTTCCATGTATCTAATTTTTGATAATTTTGAAAACACTTGATTCCACAACAGATATGATCTATTTTTCATATATCTGTAACGTTTGATTTTATATATATATATATAAGGATTTGACGAAAAAAAAAAACAAGAAAAATTCATTTACCATTAAAGAGTGATGAACAATAATAATTAATCGTTAGTTAAACTATAGATAATCATTATATACCAATTTTTTGTCTATATTAATCTTTAGTCTTAAAAAAAAAAAGATTATTGTTGATTAAGTATCTTTGATTATTTATCCGATTACAGAAAGATTAGAAATTAAATGATTAAGAATTATCGAATGTTTCGTTTATAATCAAACATAATTCTCATTTGTTCTAATATTAATATAACGTAATAGAAGAAAATGATGAAAAACGTACCTGTGATTATAATTTTGATATTTTATATAAATGATACTATTTAACAGATATAGAGTTTTCTAAGTAACAATAGTTCTCTCGGTTACTCTTGATTATTAGAATATTGTTAGAATGAACGGACATATAACTTATATATATATGCAAAATCAAAGTTAAACTTTTATCCGCATAATCTAAGAAAATGGATTAACAAGTCACCATTATCATAATCTGATTTTATTATTTTACTTGATATCAGACAACACCCAATGTGATTATCGTATAGTGATTAAACATTTTATGCGGCTTTTTGCTAATTGGTAAAATGACGCTCCCTTATATTGTCTATTTGCGAAAGACATTGTTCTTTTTTTTTTTTATATATTTTATTTCTATAGTTGTAATAAATCAGGAAAATTAGCTAATTCTTGTTGTAATCTATATTTACATAGGTTATTCATCGCAAACATAGAACCGGTGTGTGTAACTCTTTGCTAATTATTAATGATAGTATTTATTCTTTTTTGTTTTATTATATTATTATTTAATAATACCTAGAACTCGTCCAAAGATATTTGTAAAAATATCCAATCAAGATAATAAGATATAATTATAACGCTTGTCTTATTTCTAAGAACGTATGATAAGCTTTTATTAAAATAGGGAATGGAGAAATGCATTAATGTTGATTAACTGTTTTTTTTTATGTTCTTTCTTTGTAATTATTTTATTCGTTTTTAACAAGTTGAGCGTCATGTCAGCCATTGGTGACTGACACGTTCAAATATTTTTTTGAGTTACTTTTGAATTATTAAGAATTCGTCTGGCACTCAACGTGTTTAATAAAAGAGTTCTATTTACATAATTTTATTTAACAATACACATTTACTCTTGCACAGTTATTATTTAATTATATATCGACAATTATCTAAATTTTCTTTTTAAATTATTATTTTGTAAGCCAAGTTTTCTTAAACGACGCCAATATTGTTTTGTATTTGGATCCATATCCTCCAAACGTGGTGGTGTCAAAGGAATAGTCCAAAGCCAATCGGGATATTCAGAATCAGGTTTTAATTTAATATCTTCTCCCTCTTTCAAATAATTGGATCCACAAACATAAGTCACTAATTTATTAGTATCTTTTTCGACAGGGTGTATTATCTTGTTTGAAGAAGCAACTTTCTTTGATGTTACACCTTTTCCAAGTGTTACTTTTGATCCTAGAGAAGGAAATAAAAAAAAAACAACAAAATAACCTGGTTATTATGACGTTTACCATGTTTCTTAAGTTTATAGAATTTTTTATGATCTTTGGATATTATTTACAAACATTATTAATACTATTTTGATCTATTTATTAACCTATATTAAATGTACAACTTTTGAATTATTTTTACAAAATGAAAGAAACATTTGTACCTGGTGCAGCATAATTATTTGTTTGTATTTGATAACACGTAGAAATAATCTTTTTTGGTAATATTCGACACAATTTATTCATTATTTAATTAATTGTTTTTTAAAACTACGTAAACAAATTGACGTGATTCTTTGATAATAGTAGACAACTTCACGCTTCATATAAACGCACAACTTCAGAGAGAATATTCAAAATACTATCTTGAAATAAAATGTTTCAATTATTATAAATTATTTTTATTGCAAAATTTAAATATTATCATAATACAAATATTTAACAAATAAATTATTTCATTGTTAATATCTTTTTCATTTATAATAGTTGTTGTACTAAGTTACGTAGTAGATAGTGAAACGATATGAATTTGAAAAGTGCGCGCGGTATGATCGAAGTTAGAAGAAATATTAAAATAAATGAGTGATTATTAGAAAATAATATAAAAAATATTGAGAAATATTAAAAATATGTTCTTTTAATATTAATTAAAAATTATTCTTCGTTTTATACAAATAGTTTATTTAAATATAATAACAAGACAAGAGAAATTCAAATACAAATCATATTGTAGATAACAATCGAATGAATTGTGCTCTACCGCGCAATACCAAACACGAAACTAATGTCCTTGACTTCAAACATAAAACACGGTGGCGTAACATTAGAAATATGTCGATATTAATTAAATGATAGATAAAACAAATATTAGTGTAATTAATCAATTATTATTAAAACAATCTTTGTATGTTTCGGTTATGTGATGCCAGTAAGCAATAAGATAGAAGCACAGGTATGCATATATTAATATATTTTTTTTCAAATAATATTATAAGTTAAAAAAAAAACACTTTTCTTTAAATTATTATTATTATTATTTTCTTTGTTTAGATAAAAACCATTAATTTTAATATCAGAGGAAGATCAGCCATTCAAACAGAATTTCAAGATGAGAGTAAATTTTTAACAATTGCACCAGCACTACCGGTTTTACCTGGAACACTTACACCACTTAAATTGTCCAAACGTTCATATCATTCTTTAAGGTAATCAACGAAGTTTCATATTAAATGTGTTTTATAAAACAACGAAGTATTTTATATCTGTAGGATTTTTGTTTGTTTTTTTTTTTAGTACCGTAGGATCATCATTTAACTTTGAATCACCTGAAGTCAAAAGTTCTAATGCTGTTACGTTGCAATGGATGGGAGAAGGAAAAACAGTCAACGCAATACGAGCACCAGCAGAAAGAGAAAAAAATCCTGATAGAATATCCCTGGATAGAAGAGGTTTAACTGTATTTCCAAATATAATTGGAGAATCAAAATTACGATTGATATCATTGCAACATAATCTATTAACGAAGATCGATGGATGCAATTTTGAACAATTAAATAAATTAGTATTTCTTGACTTGTACGATAATCAAATAGAAAAGATCTGCAGTTTGGAATGTTTAGAAAACTTGAGAGTATTTTTAATGGGTAAAAATAGGATTAAAAAGATAGAAGGATTGATGCAACTTTGTAAATTGGAAGTGTTAGATCTGCATGGTAATCAGATACAACAAATAACAGGTTTAAATGGTCTGTCATCTCTAAAAGTTCTCAATTTAGCTGGAAATATTATTAAGATAGTTGGATGTAATGATTTTCATGGCTTGACATCTTTAAAAGAATTAAATCTTAGACGTAATAGAATAAAAAAGCTTTTGGGATTTGGTGATATACCACAATTGCAAAAATTGTATTTAAGTAACAATGATATATACAAGTAAGTATTAGACGATTATTCATATTGATATATTTATCATTAATTTCATTTCATTTGGTAATTAATTGTTACAGAGTGGAAGATATTGGAAGCATAGTCAAAGCATTTCATATCAAAGAAATTTCAATTGATGGAAATCCGATAACTTTAAACAGCGATTATATATCTTTCCTTGTATCTTACTTACCTAATCTTCAAACATTATCATCAATGCAAATTACTGAACAAATTCGTAGAACTGCAATAGCTTGGAGAACTGCTAAGGAACAAGTTAATTCAGCTTTCTTGGATCTTAGTACACAAGTATGTATGAATGTACAACGAGAAGAGATCATTTCTAATGCAAAAACAAATTTCGAATTTTTAAGATCAAAAAACAAGCCTACTATCAACGACAATAAGATGAACAATTGTAAAGTTAATAATAATAATAATAATAATAATAATATACATAACAAACTTAATATTATTAGACCAAAAAGTTTAAGCAAAGCAAGATTAAAAGGATTTGGAAGTTTAACATCCATTAATGAAAAAGTTGAAGCTACCAAAATACAAATAAATAAAAGAAGCAATTCTACTGATAGTTTGCATAAATTAGAAGACACTTCTAAAACATATCCATTAGAATTTAAACTTCCACCTATTTTAAGTTCTATAATAGACAATTTAATGAATAACAAATTTAATGAAAATTTATTGAAACTTGGTAATAATTTAGGAACATTAAATGATGTTACGAGTAGTGCCAATAGTGAAACGGAGAGTTCGGAAAGTCATGAAAGTTTAAAAAGTGGTTTACGTTGTCATTTAATACATTCAAGTAGACGCACATCTTCAGTTGATTCTGACAAATATTCTGGAAATAATAAAATTGATATTAAAAAAGATGATGATTTATCTTCTACATCTAAAACATTAATAAGTATGACTAATAATGTTACTGAATCATCGGTTTACAAAAATCACAAAACAACGATACAATTTATTAATGATAATACAGAATCTAACATCAAGTTAGAAGATTCATCTACAAAATTTGATCACGAAGATGAAAATATTTCAAACGATTGTGAAACAATTCAAACTAAATCAAATAATAATCGTATTAAATATTATTCTATAAGTTCTAAGATTAATAGTTTAGATAGTAGTAGTAAATCAACATTAAGCGATTCGAGTTCTTCATCATTGAGTAAAAATATGACACATAAGAATCGTGATTTTGAAAAGGATAAGCAAAGAGTGAAGAGTGCGCATGTAAAAAAAATCGTTTATTATAAAAGTAACCGAGCAGCTACTGCTAGAGTAAAATATAGAGCTACAGTATCAACAAGTCCAATTCAACAACAAATTTTACCAAGAGAGAGAGAACAAGGTAAATGAAAGTAATATGAAAATTAATCAATTATTTTTATAATATTTTATATTTATTCAATTACAGGCAGTGATTATTTAATTGAAATAATTGGTCGTTGTTTAAACGTTTTTGGCCAAGGTGCATTACGTTTTATCGATCGTTCGTGGGATACATTAAAAGCAGAAGATGTTAACGTTGTTAAATTCAACTATGTTCAATTTAATAACATAGCATTGATTTTGAATAAATTGAAGAATCGTTTTCCAAATGTTGAACACTTTTTATTCAAAGAAACTAATATCAGTCATCTGGGACAGATCAATGCATTAGCTGAAGCACAAGGTCTTGGAAGTATTCGAATAGAAGCTGAAGGAAATCCAATAATATCTAAAAATTGGAGATCTTATGCTATATTTCGTTTAGCACATTGGGGACTTCATACTATCAATGGCAAAGAGGTATATATTTTAATATCTTCTTATCTTCTTAATATATATTACGTGTCACGTTGTTTGTTCGCAATGAACTCCTAAACTACTGAACCAATTTTAATCAAATTTTGTACACTCTGTGCAGTTTCATCCAACTTGAAAGATAGGATAGTTAATATCTCAATTTATAATCGCAATATTATTTTATTGCGAATTATTTGTTTATTAATTAATTAGAGTCATGATTATATCTCTGTTAGTTCGATAAGATTCTAACAGATGGCGATATTAAAATATAAATAACACATTTAATAAAATAATTGTAACACATATATTTAAAAAAACAATTTATATACAAATACATACAGATTACCGAAGAAGAAATTGAACAAGCAGATGAAGAATATGCCGGATTGATAGATATCGTAATACAATCACTGCCAGATTCTTTATTGCAACCATTATTGCAAAGATTACGTTTAGAAAAGGTGCAAAAACAAAATGGGGAACAAATCACTGCCAAACAGTTTTTATTTAACAGCGATCCTGCTCTCAGAAGTGTCGTTGGTAAAGAAGCTCTACAATGGAGAAAAGGAAACGTAACGCAAGTATGTTTATTTCATTATATTTGTAAATTATATTTGTTTTTAGAACAACAAACAAATATTTGTATATTGTAGGAGGATCTAATTTGGAGGCACAAAGGAAAAGTACATTTATTGAATTTAATTGATCTCACTGTCGATGCCATAGAAAAATTACAAATACTTGAAAACGAATGGCCAAGTATATTAAATAAAATCATTTATCAGGCTTTGTCTGATTTTTCAGATATGGATACGTACATGAAAAAATGCAGTAAAATGCTCGATATCGATAAATTATTTATTAATAATAATAATAATAATACATAATTATATCCCATTATTATGAGAAACACTTTGATTGTAATTGTTCAATATAATTAATCGTTTTATTATTACATATGTTTAATAATATATTAACATTATTTATAAAATGGGATATAATTAATATCGCTGAAATATTGTATAATCAATATTGTGGAAAGACAAGTCTGCTACATATATTATACAATTGTTAATTGTTCCTGTATTAAAGGAGTTTATTGTGATGTTATAACACAACAAAAATGAATTTTACATATACATATATATGCATATATATATATGTATATGTATGTAAAACTTAACATTACGAATATATAAATATTTTATAGATTACGAAAGTTTTTTCCATTTTTCAATTTGAAATCGTATAAATCATGATCACTGGTCGTAATACAAAATACTTGATTAATTCGTTACAAGTTATATCCTTTTATTTCATTAACATCATTAAGATTTTGAAAAAGAAAAATAAATGTACATGTACATAACATAACGTAGATAACATCTATATATATATATATTTCATCGTCTATCATTGGTGATAGTTAATCAGAAAATAAATAACGAATAGATTACAATAACATTTGAAAAACTTAAAGTTATCAGTAAGTAACATTTTTTTTTTGTTTTTTTTTTTATGAAAATTTTTCTTTCTCTTTCCTATAATAAATTATATATATATATATATATATATATATATATTCCTCTCACTGTTATATATTACTTTGTACCTATAATCGATTCAACGCTAAAAGAAATGGCTGCTTTTTTATCTACACAAGTTTTACTTTTAAAGTCTTTAACAGTTGAAATGAAACCATCAAGATTGTCCTGTAATCTTCTGGGTTCTGTGATACGATTGAACCATGGAATCGTTGGATATAATGTACGAAATGAATGAAACCTTACGGTGGATTCGAGATCCTGTTTTTGCCCTTGAGATACTGCCGGCAAGGATGGAAGTAAACGATTATCCGAAGGAACTATAAAAAATAAAAAAAAAACAAAACAAAACAAAAAAGAAAGAAAAAGAAGAAGAAGGAAGAAGAAGAAGAAGATACGTATGTTAATTTAATTATTATCAATATTAAATTTAAAATAAATAAATACATATATTTAATTACAGATTCGTAAGAAGAAAAGTAAAACAGTTTGAAGAACTTACAAACTTCTGGTATGGTGTTATGATTACCACCACCTAGTCCGCAGAATCCTTGAGTGACGCTGATGCTGGTACGAGTGAAGTGCATTTGATGTTGTTGAAAATTTCTTTGAGATGTCCTTTTATTATTATTATTATTATTATTATTCATTTTCGCAACAGTTGCTAGATCGTTAAATCTAGGAATACCATTAACATCTACCGGCACTTGATTGTGCGACGATTGAACGAAATTATTATCAATGAAACAATTGTCACGAGCTTGTTGTTGTCTACGTAAAGCTACCTGCGCTGCCATTACCCTTTGTCTTTCAACAACCAATAAACAACAAGGACAACGGCAATCCTTCCAAGCACATGATCTTTTATGACCTTTCAATCCAGAAATGACACCATGATTTCGACACCTCGCACATTTTGGACTTCTCAAACGTTGGACGTCTAATCCAGCAGAATTTAATTGATTCGTAGCACTGTTGTTTTCTATCTTCATTATGACGAACTACTTTCTTTCTTCCTTCTTCTTTTGTTTTCTTTTCTTATTTTCGTCAATTAATATTTTATTAGATAAAAGTCTGTGTGTGATAAACTTCAGATATAAATGTGATCAGAAAATATTGTAAGAAAGTGCAAAAACACTATCTATCTATATCTATACATATTTTAAACATGAAAGATATTAGATAAGTGTTAATGCAACTTTACTAATCTTTTGATAATTCACTACTTTTCTCATCGATAATATTGTCACATAGTTTGATATATTTTGTTGTTGTTGTTGTTTGTTATTTCTTTAATTGTTTAATCGAAATTTTTATAATTGTACAACATAAGAGAAGTACATCTATCTTAAGATAATGTGTGTATAGGATCCGTTAAACTTGGTACGCAGTAGCGATATGCGATAAGTAATATACTTGGAAGGATCTTTCTGATCGTTTAGGAGAGAAGGAGGTGCTCCTTCATCTCCTCCTACTAATTCTAAATGTATTTTTAGAGATTTCAGATCTTCGGATTGGTCTGAAAGTCAATGAAACTCCGCCAGTTTCTTAGACTACAGACCAATGAGCCAAAGAGTTTTCTCTCTCTCTCTCTCTCTTTCTCTCTTTACCTCTTGTTCTCTTCTTCTATATCATCATCATCATCTTCTTCTTCTTCTTCTTCTTCTTCCTTTTTATTATTATTTTCTTTTACTCCTTCTTACTCTTGTTAACGATATGTTGTAGCAGCATTTTAACTTGAAGAGAGTAAGAAGAAGAAGAAGAAGAACTTGATAGCTTTCTGTTATAGTATAAACATATCTATCTCTCTGTCGAATGAAAAACATACATCTATCTATCCATCCATCCTATTTAAGCATTTTACTCACTATTCTCATTCTCTAATATACAGTAGTTTGATGTAAACCTTTTGATATATATGATTCATTGAAATTAATTCAAATAACAATGAGACAAATAATATCATCTCATATTCTCATTTCCATACAATTATAATTAGAATTCTTTTAAATTATATATATATATATATATATAAAGAGAAGAAACTTGTGAAGTATAGTAAATGTTATGTAAATGATACTCAAAGTAAGAAAAACAAAATAGAAATGGAAGAAGAGATCAAATAAAAGAGATAGAAGAGATAGATAGATATTAGTTAAAGAAAATTGTTTAAGAGGGAGAGGAAGTTGACGGTGTGTGCCACTCATGCGTTATGAAAACATACTCGAAACTAATATTAACTGTGTGTTGGCAACATACGAGAGAGGAGGATCGTATTAACGAGCTCTTAGAACGAGATCACAGAACGAATGCCATGTGTTTGCAGCTGGTGGGATATACCCTGTAGTTATAGTGCAAACCCGTACGAGATACTCTCTTTTCTATTTTCGCGGTTTGATGTTTAATATGTATACAAAAGGGAAAGAACAAAAAAAAAAATGTTGCATTTATATATATATATATACTTAACTTGAAAATACTCTAAACAATGGCATACATTTATCTTTATATTTCTTTCTTTTATAAATTCTTATAAATATATATTATTATTATTATTATTTGACTTGTAACATTAATGAAAAATCTTCTTTAAAACTAAATTTGATTTATGTTTGATATTTTATTTTTGTTTTCTTTGAAAGTTGAAAGAATATTTCATTTAAGCGTGAACAAGAGGGTATATTATTTAAACGAGTTTAAATTTATATATATATATATATATATCTATATATCTAAAAGAGTACGCGTGAAATGCGTCGAGGAATTTCGTCTAATGAGCGTGAAACGAAGGGGTGTCGTTCAAACGCTTTTTCTTACGGTACTCCCTCTTCTTCAGAACCAGAGAAGTCTTTGGCCGAGAGTGTGTTGTCAGTACGGCAAATATGTTGACAGGTCATTTAACATCTTTCTACATATCACCGCAATGAGAGACCAAACGAGAATGCATGACTAAAACACATATCATCGGCTAACACGTTTACATATTTTAACATTTATTTTCATTCTCTGTCTGTTTGTCTGTCTGTTTGTCTTCAAATTTTTAATCATTTTTCTTTTTATTTATTTATTTTTTTTTTTTGTAATATACAGATCATGAATGTATATATCATCGTACATCATCTTATAATGAATTTATTTGTCATTTCAATTGATTGACAGATTTCTATATAATTTTCTTGGCTCAATTTAGTTTCATTGGCTGGCCCCAAAAGACGCGAGAATGAAAATAAGACTCTGAGTTAGTTTCGATACTTGTTTATACGTTTTTGACATTTGGATTACCGACAAATGTCGCATTTGTTCGTTTAAAAATATCCGTCTGATTTTATCTCTTTTTTTTTTTGTTTTTTTTTTTTGGTTTTACATCAATATTGTAATAATCAATTATTTGTTAAAAGAAAATTTCTTGTTTATCACGTAAACTTTCCAAATGTTGACCTGAACAAGGAGAAACAATGCAAATTATACGGAATTACGAATATGTTGTTGTAAAGAAAATTCAAGATCTTTAAATGAAAAGTAACCAAATCTTGTTGTTACATTAAGAAAATAATATCATTGTGAGAAGTTTTATTTAAAAATTATTATTAAATGTATCAGATTTTTTTTTTTGTTATTACATTAATTTTGTTAAATACAATAACTGCGAGATGTGACTTTTTTTTTTGTTTTTTTTTTTTTTCAAAAAAAGAAAAGATTTATTTTTAGGTAAAACTTTATTTATCATGTTTCTTTTAAAGACGAAATTAAAGAAGATCTTTGAATATTCAATAATTTACAAAAAAAAAAAAAAAAAAAAAAAAAAAAAAAAAAAAAAAGAAAGAGAAAAATTGAAAAAGAATCTTTGCAATGCCACATTGTACAACAAATTTTGCCTGGTATCTTGGAAAATTTATTATTGGATTTACAGGAATGCTGATATTATATATGAGTTTTTTGAAAAACAAGTAAATAATAGATTTTTTTCTTATACTCCTATTAAAGATTATAATAATAGATAAGACAATAAGATATTTACAAAAAAAAAATGAAATCAATATTTTTATCAGAGAATCCACTTATCCGTGTAAACCAGAAATGAGAGAACTCTTGACAGGAAAAAAAAGTGAAAAGTAAGTTCAATTAAATCATAAACGCGACGATCATATCTATTTTTTACAATTACTTACAAACAAGATACAAATAAATAAATAATCCGTGTGGTATTGATAGTTTATTGTTGTTTGTTCATTGTTCATAATGATGACAATTTAAACAAAATTAATAATATTCAGTAACGATGTATGTTCAACAGGCAACCAGGTAGATGTGAATGCGAGAAAGCGTAAGTTTAATAATTAAATATATTTTATTAACAAATTATTTAATGACAAAACAATTAATTGTTATTCTTTATTTATTTATTTTATTTTATTATTATTTTTTAGAATGCAAGCTAAAAAGCATGGCTGCACATGTAAGGAACGGATGTTAGTAATTCACGTTTTTATCATGTGTTTACGCTAAAACACACTTTCGTAACGACTCCTTCCTCTTTTCCCTTTTTTTTCCTTCCTTTTTTTTTTTTTTTATGTTCTTCCATTAGGGCACAAAAATAGAGGGAAATGTATTTGGAAAGAAAGATCATGTCCAATGAAGATTGCATCTAAACGTCTCGTTAAGAACAACAATGGTATTATCGTGCGTAAATGTGCAAATGTTTTTTATTAATCCCCTAAAAACAAAAATATATATTTTACTCTAACTATAATCATTTTCATTTAATTTCATTATTTTTAATAATCAAACGAATTGTTTTTAGCTGTTAATACGAGGACAACGCTTAAATCATTCTGTTGTAAAAAACAAGGAAAGGTAACAAACACTATTATGGGACGAGTGCCTCCATGCCCAAACATATCGGGCATTCGTGAGAAGGATTGATCGATGGGCCCTGGATAGCTCAATTGGTTAAAGAGCAGTCGCCCGGAGGGCAAAAGGATCCGTGGTTCGAGTCCTTGGTCCAGTCAGTCCAGCGGTCCAATTTTTTTCACGAATCCCACCCATGGGGGCTCAGCCGGGATGGAGGGTCTGTTTCGTAACACGTTCCACAGTCTTAATCTTTGTGAGAAAATTGTGAGAGTATTTGTGAGAACATTCGGGGTTGAATGTTGTTAAGGGGAGGGGAGTGGAATGTGGGACGAGCGCCTCCATGCCCAAACTTATCGAGCATTCGTGAGAAGGATTGATCGGTGGGCCCTGGATAGCTCAATTGGTTAAAAGAGCAGTCGCCCGGAAAATGAAAGATCCGTGGTTTCGAGTTCCCCGGTCCAGTCAGTCCACCGGTCCAATTTTTTTCACGAATCCCACACATGGGGGCTCAGCCGGGATGGAGGGTCTGTTTCGTAACACGTTCGTTCCACAGTCTTAATGTTTGTGAGAAAATTGTGAGAGTATTTGTGAGAACATTGTGAGAACATTCGGGGTTGAATGTTGTTAAGGGGGGGGGGGTGGAATGTGGGACGAGCGCCTCCATGCCCAAACTTATCGAGGATTCGTGAGAAGGATTGATTGGTGGGCCCTGGATAGCTCAATTGAATGAAAGATCCGTGGTTTCGAGTTCCCCGGTCCAGTCAGTCCAGCGGTCCAATTTTTTTCACGAATCCCACATTATTATTATTAACGATGAATGAATTTGTTTATTCTTTGAATAATTCAGTTTTCAGATTTATTAAATGATAAAATAAATTCTTGCAAGTGTCATTGGTATAATTTAATTAACGGTACTTGTATCAAACGTAAATCGAATAAAATGAAAAGACAACAAACGTGTTTACGCGTTTCGGAGGATGTCGTAGCTGATTTATGGAAGATGCAAAAAGTATGTGACATTGTAAAGTCGCAAGATGATAATCAAAAGAAATTATTTAATAATGACAAATTCATACAAGAAGAAACAACATCGAGTTCTTACGTCGATGCTAAAAATTGTTTCGTTCAAGATGCTTATACTCAATTTGTATGCGATAAAGAAGAAAAAGAAATTTATTTGAAAAGAATTGAACGTAGAAATGAAGAAATAAATGATGACATCGATAAAGAAACGAAGAAATATGATGGTACTTTGTTAAATTGCAATTGCGAACATATGACTAATATTGACGCTGAAACTTTGACGTGTTTGAAAGAAGAAAATAAATCAAATACGTATAATGTCACAAATAATAATAATAATAATAATGATGATGATGATAATGATTTACCATACGTTCCTGAGCTTGAATTAGAAGAGGAAGATGATTGTAATTGCGAGTATACATTTTCGGAAGAACATTTTGGGGGTCGCAGTAAGAATCAAATTGAAATGTGGAAAAATTATGATTCAATTCGAAAGAAATTGAAACAAAATCCGATATTAAATATTAGGTAAACAACAAATTATCATTTGTTTTTCTATTAATTTAATAATAATGTAAAAACTGCTTATGTTTGTAGAAATCAAAATCATTTGAATGCAAAAATGAATAATAATTCTTATCGTGAAAATAATAAATACGTTTACAACGAATTAAGATCCAGTACAAGTACAGAATCATTGATTTCTCCAGAAACAAAAATGAAGATAACACGTAGCAATGATCGAGGTTATTTAATGCTTTTAAAACATTCCAAAAGGATCAACAAAGATTCTCGAAAAATGGCCGACAATTTTGTGCCGCCATTTTTTCGTAAAATTAATATTAAGGAAGATTATAGTGATCGTGATTACAGTAAACGATATTTTTGTCATTGTCAACATTGTAATGAAGATACAGAAAGAAAATTAATAATTGATGATAAATTTGATGAAGATACTGAAACAAATCGATCAAGAATTTCATTCTCATCTTCAACGACGAGTCTTTCATCTTACGATCAAGATAAATCATCTCGATCATATTTTGACGATAATAATTATAAATGTCGAAATTTATCAAGCTTTCGATCTAGCACTAGTAGTTGTAACTGTAATCAATCATCAAAAATAGAATATCAAAGATCTGTAAGATTTAATCCATTATCTTCAACAATAACTTATAAAAATAATAATAATAAAAATAATAATAATAATAATAATCCTTGTCAAAGGATATTATCTATCATGCAAAGAAGATTACAAAATCGTGAAGATTTTGATTAATGATTCACACGTAAAATAAAATCAATTTTAAATTATCACTGTAAATTATCAAACAAAAATGAAAGAGGAGTTAACGAAGATTGTAATTAACGTGATTAAATGTTATTCAATAGAAAAACTGAATTGTTAATGTATTGATAGTCAAAGATGATGATAATAATAATAATAATAATAATAAGAGAATGAATTGAATAACTAGACGACTGAGAGTTGTGTGTTAGTTGCTAGATCCTATGAATAAATTGGACATGCTTTAAAGAGATACGAGTAGAAGAGTCTGGTGTGTGCCCCGGAAAATGTGAAACTCAATTAATATGCGTCCCGTGTCTCTAGGTGAAGTGTCTATAAGTAGATCGGTTGCGGACACAACGTCACTCATAACCCTACATTATTTTCTGCTGTAATGCGTAGATAGTCTTCTTTCTGCTAACGAGACATTCTACACCCACACACGAATCATATACAAATCACACACACACACTCAGAGCATACACATTCACATATTTATATGAACATGTTTTCTACTCGCATATTAATTTCAAATTTATTTCTTAAAATGCTATGTAATTAACATAAAAACACATATATTGATTATCACGTTAATTTAATCATTTGTATATTCATTCTAATTTTAATTAGTATTGTACAATTTTTATTTTTATTTTTATATAAACAATATATATATATTTAAATTAGTATAACATATAAAACTCTATTATTATACAATAACAAATAGATAAAGGAGTTATAGTTTTGAAATAATTGTGCGCTTTTTTTTTTTTTTGGTTAAACTCTCGCATTGAAATATTTGTATTATTTGTGTGTTCTTTTTCATTGTGAAATTTTATTCGTTTCAATTCGTTTAAGAATCTTTCTGAAAGGCATCCTTTGTAAGAGAAACGTTGCAGCTGCGACCCTTACGCCTCATATTTTGCACGCACATTCTAATAAAATAAAAGGAGAGACGGAAAGGCTCAACTGAAGAACCATTTCGAAATGGGAAGATGTTAAATGAGCAAACTGTCTAACTGTCAGTCCACCTAGTATTCGGTTTCTCGGCGCTTAGTGAAAATACTAAAGCTAAAATGATTCCCGTAGTCTACTTTAACTTTGGTGTTTCAAATAAACACACACACACACACACAAACACACGCTATGCTATTTCCGTTTTCAGATAGACTTTCGATCAAAATTCTTTTTCTTCTTATTATTTTTATACATCAGTTCACTTCATTTACACATCACTCATTTATGTGTATATTAAATTATTATTTGATAATATATTCATCTATCGAATATAATTTTTCATCTTGAAAACATTCATCTATCCATTTACTATCAATTACTTTCATCGTTTCATTCATAGTTTCATTAAATTCAGTAATTAATGATTTATCTTCAATGAAAATATAATTAATATGTTCGTTTAAATCTTCATTTATTAAACCTCCCATAAAACGAAATTTCAATTTGATCAAATCGGAACATTGTTTGAAATATCCAATGATTTGTTTGAACACAGAAAATGGAGATATTCCATTGTCAAACAATTCTTTATCCAATGCTTGTTCTTCGATAAAAGTAAGTTCTATTTCTTTTATCTAAAATTAATATTATTTAATTAGATACAAATTATATGTATTTTTATAAATGTATTTTTTATATATTTGATCTACCATAGGTTCCATTTTTGTTAATGAACGTTGTAAACTTTCTTCGTCAACGTCCATCGTATAACTGTCATAATAATCATCATATTTTTCCATTAATAATTGTTTAGTCGTGTCACGAATAGAGAGAAAATCCCATGGTAAAAAATCTTCCAATGTACCCCAATTTTCTTCTTTGGTAATACGTTTGAACCAATCTAATGTAACCACGTCATATTTGTTTGTTTTAATAATATTATGTGCTTTTGCCTAAAATCAAATGAAACAAAGTCAGTAAATCATTTATTTATGAGATATTATATCGTAATATAATTTGTATTTATACTTTTTTATCATTTCCAACAATGATACAATAAGTTTCTTTTCTTGGATTTCGTACAACTTTTGCCCTATGCAATAAAAGTTGTTCTATTATTTCTTCATCGGATATTTCATCATTACCATTAATAACACAAATTTCTTTTCCATCTAACAGACGTGTTATCGGTACAATATTTTTCTTTAATTGTTTGTCCTTATACAAAGTTTCATCGAATATCGATAAACTTGATTTAGACATTTTCTTAGGTTTAATAACAGATTCCGTTGCAGTTTCAATATCAGCCATTGTTGCTTGTCTTTTAGTCAATTTATGAATAACTCCTGCATTCTAAAAACAAGATAAGTTAAATGATAATTTAAAACTCATGAAATTTCTTTACATTTTTGTCTACCTTTATCAATGATAAAAATTCTGTGATTGTACAAGCACTGTACCAAGGTTTATCTTCTCTAATTTTGATGATACGAGGAAAACGTAAAGTATAACCGATTGAATAATCATCACTTTTTGTTATTTCTGTTGCTCTAAGTGTTAAAATCAACGAGTGTTCAGGTCGAATCCATAAATCTGGAGGTTCTACCTAGAAATATAAATCACACATGTTTATACAATTAATAATATACAATTATAATTAAATTAGATGAATATATTTGAAATACTTTAGGTCCAATTATACAATTAGGACGATCTTTAATCCAATGCTTTTCAAATTTCTTATGAAGTTCATTCAATTCTTTCATTGTGATACCACTGCTCACTGATACAACAGAGGAAAATTGTTTAGGTTCTTCCCCTTCATTCTTAGATTCTTCAGCAACACCCATCATGAAACTGTTTATTGAACCACCTTCCCCATAATAACCTCCAAGTATAATCAAGTCTAGATCTTGTATCAGATCTTTTGAATACTAATATTTAAAAATAATATTAATTGTATTTGAATATTCATTGAAAAATATATATGTTTTTATACCTCGGCTTTTAATTTGTAACAACCAGTTCCATTGCGAACATTTGGTTTGTAAACTGAATCAGATTTTTTGATAACAATTCCTTCTTCCTCATTGACAAGACTTTTATTAAAAATATCCAATAGATCTTTGCTATATATTAAACAAATAATTATTAATATTTATAATAATATAATATAGTAACGTGTGTGTGTGTTTATATAATTTACCTGTTAGAAATAATTGTACTTTGGCATTTAATTAATGAACCTTCTTCATCTTCAAATGCATCTTTTAGTATATTCAATCTTTCTTTATAAGGTCGATTAATGAGTAAATTATCATTGTAAAGAATAATATCATACGCAACAAAACAAGGTTGAAAAGAACTTTTAGCTGTAAGCTTTTTAACGTCATAGCTCATACCCTTTGATCCAAATACTTTCCTTTGTTTATGCCAACCCATCATTTCGCCATCCAATATGATTGATTTGCATTGTTTATTTAAACGACGTGAAAGTATACTACTCAGAAAACCATCTACAAGAAATTACTTAATAAGAATTAGATATATATATATGTGGGACGAGTGCTTCCATGCTAAACTTATTGAGCATTCGTGAGAAGGATTGGTCGGTGGGCCCTGGATAGCTCAAAATTGGTTAAAAGAGCAGTCGCCCGGAAAGC